TATGACTAAAACATAATGACTTTTTCAAAATAGGATCATATGTTTTTATTTCCCAATGTAAGACCATTGGTCTTTATCTATTAGTCATTATTCAACTAAATGTCCACCATCACTTGGACATTATTTTTCTCACTAGTCATTATTAATTCCCATTTAGAAAATAAAAAAGTTTAAGTTCTACATTGAAAAATGACTTATGTTTTAGTCCTATTCGGTGCAAATTTCACTTAATAGAAAGCAGGGCATGTTTCTAGTCCTCTTAAATTGAGTCAAGTTGACTACGAGTATTATTTTAAAAAAAGATTATTGAAAAGGTGTATTTGATAATTTAGCAAAATACTACTCGTTAAAAAGTAAACTAAAATAATCTTTTCAAAATGCTAATACTTTTGTAGTGTTTTTTTTGTGTTTTCTAATGTAAAATGCTAATCTATCAAACTATTCAAACAAAATTTTGGCTGGTGAAATATATTGTCTTAGGCTAAAATGTCAAAAAAAAGAGCAATAATAAATACATTGTCAAACACCTCATGTCGTTTTATTATCTACGTCTTCTATTTAAAGTATAAATGTGAATTTCATAAATAAAACATGAGTGTGATGGCTTTTTTCCTTATATATAGTCATCTTTTTATCCCACTCGGTTCATCAAACAATTTCCTTTTTTACGCAACCACCTCACTTATATCTTACTTAGCACATTGTTTTCTTCCTCGACTACCACTAGCGATATGTACATCAGATCATTCCATCAGAATTAAAGGTAATTCAAATTATACATTAATATTTTATGATTCTATTTTAATCAAACGATTATGATTGATAATTCAAGTTTAAGTGCATGAACTTAGTTAATCATAGGGGTGTAAACGGATTTTAATCGGATCGGATGTGCTATTACCAAATCCGTATCCGTTTACTTTTGTCGGATATCGAATTCGGATACGGATCTTGACGGATATTGAAAAATCATAACCGTATCCGCATCCGTCGGATATCGGATATATCCGTATCCGTTTCCAATTTTGAAAACTAAACTAAACAATACTTGAATTTTCAATTAAACTAAATTAAAATATTATTAAATCAACTATAATTTTTTATGGGATATTTATTTTCTTATTTTTTATAGTTTATGATATTATACGATGACTTCATATCATAAAAAGATATACACCGTACATATATACACATATTTTTACATGTCTACACATATTTTTATGTGTTTACACATATATTTCGCATATAAAAATGTCTTATACTTTGAGATATCTATAGAGAAA